GGTCAACTTGGGTGTATTTTTTTTAATATTTTGGAGGGTGTATTTTTTTTAGTTTCTTGGCTTGCATCCATGATATGATGAGAAACAAAAGGAGGCATTAGTGTGAGTGCTTATGGGCTGATGGCATCTTTGCTACTCCATGATAGCACAATGCAACATTACAAAAGCAGTTTAGAGCAGAGTTTCCAAACAAAATTTTACTACATAATTTCAAGAAAGTCATATATGTACCAAAAAAACATGCATACCAAAGACATTCAATATACTCCATAATGGCCTTATATATCAGAAGCATTAAATAAGTTAGTAGTATGAGGGAACATCATTAATTTTGCCTCGATTACTGTTGGTGGCTTTGTATATATGCAAAATGTATATTTTATAGTGACTTTGTATAAGTAAATGGAGGGAGTACTAATCTAAACTGAACTAGTTGAAAATATGGAACGATCATGTGGTGCAGATGGTTCGCCGTACATGTATCGTATTGAAATTGCCGTATGTACAACATCTCTATATTTACAATCAAATGGAGTACTACTTAGCTAGATGTGGAGCAGTTTGCATGGACTCCGCATATCTTTCATAGTAGTAGTATTTTCTTGGAAGATATGCACAAATCTACAATCATTTTTAATGACACTAGGGTGTATAGGGTCGGGGCACACACTACAGGAAAAGCATTTTCTTATGAAAAGGACATAATTTGAAGAGGGACTTCCCATGGTTATCTATTGGGTAACCAGCAATCATTGATTGATTGTTGTGCTGCAATCGTCTCTGTAGTATATACTCTCTTCGTTTCATAATATAAGATGTTTCTGCAAGCTGTTTTAGCATCTTATATTGTGGGACGGAGAGAATAAAATCAAGCCGTAAAAAAATATAAGGATAAACATGACTGGTTATAATTTGAAAAAGAAAAGATAGAATTAAAGAATCTACTCCCTCAGTTTGTCAGCAGATGACATTTATGCATTGACATAGTCCCCAATATGCATCTTTGATCATTAATTTGTAGTCGTTTGAAACATGTTTTATGACAAATCTAATGATGTTGCTTTATTTTACGGATAAAAATAGTTTTGTGTCAAAGTTTTAAAATTTTAACTATACAATTTCTGGAAAGCCATCTATTTACATACGCATGTGATACTACTATTTAGCTAGACGTGGAGCAATTTGCTCGACCCCGCATTTCTTTCATATTTTCTTAGAAGATGCCAACTACAACCATTTTTAATGACACTAAGGCGTGTAAGGTTGGGGCTCACACTATTGAAGAATCCTTTTTTATGCCGCCAATACTACTAACACAACTTGCACTATTGTACAATTAGTCTACAACATCTTTATAACCCACACAGATTTACAGGAATCATGGACCAATCAGAATGACTTCATTTTTAATAAGAGGAACTTAACTGGAAGGGTTGTCTGTAGGGCAACCAGCAAGTCCTACTCTTCTAACGATTGAGCACTAGTCACTCTTAGCTTTCTTTTGCTTTTCTAAAAAATATTGTATAAATATATGTATCACAAGCCTTCATAAAGTAAATATACGCATCAAGGCAATTGGATGCAGCCTTCGTTGGCATCTTGAGAATTCAACTTCAAATTTAACCAACAATGGACTCAGGATATGTGGATGATATGACAGAAAGGGCATGAAAGAATCTCGGTTCCAAAGGAATCATCTGATTGATAAAAAGAAAATGTTCAAAGCCCCTTCAGGCTGCATAAATAAATGTAGAATGAAGAACACTAGAATTTAACATTTAGTTTTCACTACAAAAGGTTTTGTTAGTCTTTTACTAACCCATCCTTCTTAGCCTCTGTGTATGAATATGCAAAGAACTACAATAACCGTCACCCAATAGGAATATCGTCTATAAACACAAATAAGGGAAAAAAGATGGTGTAGCGTGTTAGAATAAATGGGCTTGGCCATGAAGATTTTCTGAAATTCCTAATGTAAATCTCAACGGCCCATGTATAAATGGCAAGTGAAGATGCAATCTTCAGTCCCACCTTGAAAGTGAAGGAGACCTGAAACCAACTTAAATAGTAGAGTCTCCCCACTACACTGATGAGTATGAGGAGAGAAAGAGAACACCACACGCACGTGATCGTCTCGCCTGGTCTGGCTGGAGTGAAGGGCGTGGGCATGTGACAAAATTCGGTTTGTAACCTTGCAGGAGCGCGCCTTCTTTTTGCCGTTTTATTTTTCTGGTTTTTTGACACACAAGTTGATTGTTTTTTGTCCGGTAAGTTTCAACTTGAAAACCAAGTCTGTTTGAGATCATGATCTCAACACGATGCCGCTTGGGTTCTCCTATTTAAAGACGACTTACCGGCCACAGCCAAAAATACATTGAATCAAGCCAGGGTGTGCGTCCTCTCACTACTTGTGTCGTCATCCTAGACTACTCCATCCCGAACGCCAGCATGCATCGGCGAGAGGGAGAGCATGTATCCGGTACCTCTCGTCCTTATGATCCTGCATCGGCAGAGGATGAATTGTGTTTTTCAGAAGCGCTACATGCAATTGCTCAAGTTTGTCACCACGCGTCCTCTTCCACCAAGCCGGATGGCGTAGCGTGCCGACGTCTTCAGTGATTCAGATCAATGCTATGCTGCAATTTTCTCAAACAATCAGATGATAAATTCAAGTTGTTTTGAGGCATGTCGAGGACATGAATGAATTTACATAAATTCCATGAGGCAATTGAACATCGACATAGGTTAGGAGAAAAAATTACAAACTGGCCTTGCTAATGTTATGCTGCAATTTTTTCAAACAATCAAAACTTAGGAGGAAAAAAAATAGATGGACTTGACTTGCTATTATTTGAACAGAACAATAAAATTAAAGCATTCCACTCTCTCAGTTCGCCAGCAAGTGCCTTAGAGCAACTCTAGCAGACCCCGCAAAACGCATTTGCAGTTTGACGAAGATCTCGTTTGCAGGTCGAGAACGAGCGCGGCCGAACAAAAACCATAGATGAAGCTGCATAATTTGGAAAAAACAGTTTTGCAGGAGAAATTGCACCATAGTAGTTCATCACATACTACATATATTACATGATCAAACACTACAAACACTAGTTCATACTACATACTACATCAGTACTAGTACTAGAGGGGGTGGGGATCTCACGGCGGCGAGCTCGCGACCATGGACGCCGCCATGGAGGAGCTCAATCCTCCTTGCCAGAGCTGCCGAGGTCGATGTACTTCTCCTTCTGCTCCTCGCGGATGTGCCGCCACTCGTCGTCCTTCTCCTTGGCGGCGAGGTTGGTCGCGACCACCTGCTGGAACACGAGGTCTTCGAGCTCCTCGTGGTGGCGCCGACGCTCCGCCTCCTCGTGCAAGCTCCGCTTGGCAATGGCGGTCGCGACCGCGTCGACATCGACGAAGAGGTCCTCCGGCCCGACTGACTCCGCGGCTCCCGAGCTCCTGCTTGACGGGGACGAACTCGATCTCCTCCGGCTCCTCCGACCACTCCCTCTTCACGGGAAG